TTGATGTAAAATAAATTAAATACCGAGGAAATAATGCGAGTTGCGTGTGTTTATATAACATATTAATACAAAAATAATACAAAATATAAATTAACACAAAAATAATAAAATTGAAAATTACGAAAACATAAAATATCTTATTAAATGAAAAGTTTCCGTAAAAGTATAAATACATCATACATCCCATTCCTTTATCAGGAACACGTGTGCGAAAAATAAATGTAAGGAATATTCCAAACTGTAATTGAATGGTGACGTCATTCCGCGAAATCTGTAGTCGAATAAGAAATATATGACAATGCTCAAGTTCCCCATATCGTACAAGTATCAGTTGGTCGCGATCATTCAAGTTTCTCAACACTATTCGCCCCTAGCAATGTCTATCTGTCACATCATTTTTCCCACCTCGTACGCGCCCCCCATTCTGACTTTTTCTCTTCGCAGTTTTACTTTAACCCACAAGAATGGCGCGTCGTGACAGAAACAGGCCAAACTCGCGAAGCTTTCGTTATATATACCGTATATATAGCTGTACAAAGCATCGATGTTGATGGAGAAAAGAAGAAAAGGGATTTGATATTTATCGCGTATAATTGTTGTGCGCTGAGAAAGAGCGCAATAAAGGTACATCGAGTACCAAAGTGAGGCTTTTACAGAAATCAATAAGAAACAGCGTTACCGAAGCACTTACTCGAAGAGCAAAAACCAAGCGACGATATCATTTTTAATGGTGTACGCGAAAAAGCTTCAGACTTGGGTTTCTTAGAGACTAGTCTTTTTTGCATAAAATCATTCATGAAAAGAATAAAAAATAGAAAAGTATATTTTAAAATAATATTCATATATTCAATACATCCAATATATCCATATGTGATACTGATTAACAGATTGCATCATACACATGATAATTAAAATTTTGCACTTGTCGTGCGATTTAACGAAAAGTTTTACGTGCTCGCCGACTTCTTTGCCTCTTCGTCATCCGTGCAGGTTTACGAATGACATCGAAACGCACCAGAAACTAAATACAGACTATCGAGCAAGCCGTATAAACGAAAGTCGGATTCCTAATTAAAAGCGAATGACCCGTGAAAACAGTGATGTCGACTGGCACCCTAATGCACATCTAGCGTAACCCGCACCTAATCCGTGAACCGTTTAAAACGTCCTACATACGGAAAGTCCGCTATGCAGTTATGCAAATGTTTGAAACCTGGGGAAAATGAGATTAGTCTGGGAGGTAAATTGTCATGAGAGTTATAATGCCAATCTGATAGTATTATACATCTTTATTCATCGAAAGAAAGACTTGATAATTTTCTTGACGGATATTCAAAGGACATTGACATTGATATTACTATGCGAATTTTGATTCTTAATCAATTGATCAAATTAATATACAGGGTGTTTCAGACCACCCATTGAAAAATTAGAGAAGTGGTTATTTCAAAAAAGTAAAAACATTTTCTTTATAAATCGCGTGCGTTCTATCGAATGGTGATATTTTCAACTTCTGGTTCCGGCCGGAAATAGGCGATTCAGACCGGAAGTGCGTTTTTTTTAATGGAACCCCCTATTTTTCATTGCATATTCTTGTAGCTTACCTCGAGAGCTTTCCAAAACACTATAATAAATTATTTTTCCATAAAGTACTTTTCGAGTTATGAGGCTTGAAATCATTTCTTAATTTTACATAAATCATAAAATATCTTGTAAAATATTCATTTTTCGATTATCTTACCTTAATACTTTTATGTACAAACTAATGAGAGGAATCAATTGGTGTAAAGAAAACACATAGTTGTTTCTAAGAAAAAATATGTAATTTGCAATTAACAATTCCATATTTTTTCTTAAAGACAACTATATGTTTTCTTTACATCAATTGATTCCTCTCATTATTTTGTACATAAAAGTATTGAGGTAAGATAAACGAAAAATGAATATTTTACAAGATATTTTATGGTTTATATAAAATTAAGAAATGACTTCGAGCCTCAAAATAACTCGAAAAGTACTTCATAGAAAAATAATTTGTTATAGTGTTTTGGAAAGCTCTCGAGGTAAGTTACAAGAATATGCAATGAAAAATAAGGGGTTTCATTTTAAAAAATGCACTTCTGGTCTGAATCGCATATTTCCGGCCGGAACGAGAAGTTGAAAATATCACCATTCGATAGACCGCACTCGATTTATAAAAAAAATGTTTTTACTTTTTTGAAATAACCACTTCTCTAGTTTTTAAATGGGTGATCGGAAACACCCTGTATATCAAACATTCTAATCGAAATCTGGGAAAATTTTGAGAAACTTGATGCAGATTAAGATGCGGATACTTTTAATATGATTGCTTCGATTATAAATATATCGAAAGATTTAATTATCCAATTATCCTCGATACCTAATGACGATAGTTATCTTTTGTCTCTTTCAAACTTTGATTAACGCGCGTACAAGCATAATAATCGTTTCGTTAGACGAGTGACGGCGTGTCACTCGTTTCACGGAGGACAATTTGATTTGTCTTGCAGACACGCGTCGCCCTCGATAACGATCTCGATTACTCCTACCCGAGGCACTGCTTCGCTCACGCCGATTAGAATTGATCCTAATTACACCTCAGTGTAAATCCCGTATTAGAAGACTCTGCGATACACGGGGCGGGACGCAGCGTTACTTGGGCCGTTGCTCGGAGACTCGAATACCATTACCGGCGTCAGATCTATTTAATTGTTGCTAATGCCAGTCCTAATGATCCGTTTCCAATCTCCAGTCCGATTACAAACCCAGCCTCCGCCGATTTTCACCAAGCCCGATACAAATCGGAAATACATCGAGCGTAAATCCATCTTGTCTTGAGCAAAGTAGAATTATACGAAGCATTAGCGAGGAATTTCCCAAGTGTTTGCAAAGAGAGAGAAAGAGAGAGAGAGAGACAATCTTGTGTCTTCTTTCCTTAAAAAAAAAAAAAAAAAAAAAAATCAAAATTCTTTCAAAAATAAAATATTGTGAAAAAAGAGAATTAGTGAGAAAATGCAAAAGATGTCTCGCATCTGAAATCTTCGAAAAGATCCATTAAAGACTTGGAATGGCTCTGTGAAAGCGCGGACCGATAATAATGAAATCTCTAGCATTGCTTAGAGCTCCCGAGTGGGAATCCAGGACTTCCAGGATCAGTGTAAGTTCGTCGTTGGCGACAGCTTTGTTTAATCGTCACCTAATGTCTCTCTAATGTTTCGGTCTTACCCTTCGTTCGTCCAGGGAAATTGCCTCGCGGTACAGTCCTTTCCGGAGATCTAAGCTACACAGAGCGTAAAGCTCGGATCTCTATTGCGAAGTTCTCAGCTCGACCTCGCTTTGACGTCTCTGTGTAGGATCAACTGGATTGTTGAATCAGCGAATTGCCGTTCGATGTTTGCGGAATGTGCATAGATCGTTGTGCGTTTATAACTACAGATCAACGGGCATCTCTCTATAGAAAGGACGTTCAAATCCGATTGATCAAGCTCAACGTTAATCGTACCATCAGAATACGTCAAATGATTAGAGATACGTCTATGTGCGCGTATGTATATTTGCCGGATCATTAATAACAAATGGCCTCTTAATTCGACTATCCGGATATATTTACAGCGTTGAGCAAGAGGAAAATTATCAATTGGAATCAAAATACAAATCAAAATACAATTGAACCTCAAACGTACGTAACAACATTGTATAAATACTATGATACGTTATATAAAGAATATCTCAAAATTACTAAACTTGCAAACTTGAAACTTTCAAATTTTCTTATTAATCTAGAGATCATTTTTTCTTAAAAATCGAGACATTGGTAATTTTTGAGTTGTAAATGATTTAAAAAGAATGCCTCTTAATTCGATTATCCAGATATATTTACAGCGTCGAGCAAGAGGAAAATTATCAATTGGAATAAAATCAAAATACAATTGAACCTCAAACGTAACAACATTGTATAAATACTATGATACGTTATATAAAAAATATCTCAAAATTACTAAACTTTCAAACTTGAAACTTTCAAATTTTCTGATTAATCTGGAGATCATTTTTTCTTAAAAATCGAGACATTGGTAATTTTTTAGTTGTAAATGATTTAAAAATAATGCCTCTTAATTCGACTATCCGGATATATTTACAGCGTCGAACAAAAGAAAAATCATCAATCGGAATAAAATCAAAATACAATTGAACTTCAAACGTACGCGACAACATTTTATAAATACTACGATACGTATAAAGAATATCTCAGAATTACTAAACATCCTTTCAATAGCAAATTTTCTGATTAATCTGGAGATCATTTTTTCTTGCTAAAAATTGAGACATTGATAATTTTTGCGTTATAAAAGATTTACAAAGGATGCTTTCCGCAAGCTTTATAAAGTTAAAAAATTAACAAAGCTATATTCTTAACTTTAGAAATAAAATCTACCTTAACAAATACTTAATTTAAGACTTGATTACAAAAATATATGATGAGAAAAAATGCAAACAAAAATGATGACTTTCTTTGACATTTTCGCTAAGAAAATAATTGATGAAAAAATTTGTTAATTGTCATTTTAAAAAGACATTCGATGATTTTTAGATATTCAATATAAAAGCATGCAAAACAAATGCTACGTGTCATATTTTCACGTAAAAATGAGCTCCATGTGATTATTGGACTATTTTAAAAGGAGATTTATCGAAAACAGATGTTTCGGCTACAGGCTACCGGATTAAAGCGAAAGATTGCTCGCTACATCCGACAACGCAAAGCTCATCCTTTACTTTAATACAACTTAATACAACTACTAATTCTTTTTAATTAAATGCTGTTCGGATATCATTCTGTGTATTTTCCGGGATACACCTTTCTAATTTTTTTCCTTTTATTAATTAAATCTTTCACTCGTGATAATCGCATTAAAAGACGAATGCAAATGATGTTTGATATTCAAAATCTTAGAAAAACTAATAGTAGAGCCACGTACCTTAACCAGTGTCTCTTTGTCAGAGCTGTATGGCAGCAGATGGCATCGTATTGATCGGCAAGCCACACTATCAAGATTATGTAAAACGCGGTGGTTGTGTCATTGAAAAATTCGGACATAAGCGCCTCCATTCCTGAAAATAAAAGACAGAAATATTTGATGAATCTGAAGAAAAGCTTTCGCTTTTCCTCTTAATATTTCATATTAAAAATGAGGCTTGTTTTGTGCTTTATTTGAAATCGGACATTTACAAATTACGATGATAAAACGAGTGCTCGCGAAAAGTATAACGTTTAAAATATAGCACACATATATTTTGTCTTTGTCCGTTATATATATGCCGTTGATTGGTAGAAAATATATGGTAAAGAAAAAAATGGAAGTATATTAATGATAACACACCGTGCTGCGCTTATTTAACAGAAAATCTCTTTCAGTCTATCTGTCGCAAAATAAACACGCATGTATATAAATCGCAACATATTTAACCAATTTTCAACTGCGCTCGTCATCAAACTATATTAAAATTTTAACGTTGTGAATAAGAAGATTATAATATTCGAAATTTCCACCTGTCGTCATTCCATTGACTTTTCTAATGTACTGCAATTATAATCTCTTGTAATTCTCATAATTTTGTAACGATCAATACACATGATATAAAAATGTATTAAAAATTGTATTAATTTAATAGTTTGTGAATTGAATGAAAAAGGAATAGTACTCGATAATTGCAATCAGATGCTATCGATATATATTAACGTTCGATGCTATCAATATCGGATAATTTCTACGCAATTAAAACTGCAACCAATATGCGATTCGTTTTGCATGAATTTAACATGGTGTACGGCCATTAATGATGTAAAAACGATGCGTCGCATCGATTCATCTTATCATTCCGCGAACGTTAAACGTTCAATCTTACTTAACGAGTGAAATATTACCGCGAATTATAAAACAAGAACGCACGATGTAAACACATGCGAAATACATATGTATACGATATATTCTCTAGCGTGTTTCCTAATGGATTGTAACGATACGAGCACCCATGGGAAACCGTGCGGAAATGACAAAAGTATTGTAGGGCGTGCCCTGGCCGGATCACGAAAGTGCGAAAACGACCAAGTTGAGGTACGTCGGCCAAGACTTGATTAATGACAATGCCAAAGGCTTTCCTCGGAATCGAGGAATCGGGATACGATTTATACGTTTTTTCGTCAATATATTTTGTCAGTATATTTTGGCTAAATTTGAAAAATAATAATAACTCTCTTAGAAATGGAATATTACTTTGAGTATTTTTGACATAATCATTTTTTAAACAACCAACACTTCTCAAAGTCAGTTTAACATTCTAAGAAAAGTTCAAGTGAATCTTGAAATAATCGTGAACCTTGACATAAAAAAATAATCAAATTTACTAAAATGTTTCTATTACGAATAATTTAAATTAAATAAAACAATTACTATTATATTAATGTCCTCAGCATTTCTTACGAGTTCTTGCAACTATTTTTTCATATAATTTTTAATTAATTTGTACGTTATTTTTACATTACACTTAAAGTCACGATAACAAAAAATAAATGTAAAGCATTGTGTCAATTATTTAACATTTTTAGGTTTGTCAATAAGTAACATACGACGAATGAGTTATTTTAACTTCAAATTTGGACTTTCTGGGACATGTGAAAAATGTTACAATTAACATTTTTTATTTTTTCTGTGCATGATTCCTGAAAAAAAAAACAAAGAGGAAAAAATATAAAGTATAAAATAACAATTAGAGAAATCAATCCCAAATAATAGCCGAGTAATGAATTGCTCGAGGCAACGAGGCTCGCGCGAGACAGAGTAAATATGACATGCGGAGATCGCGAAAAGCAAAGAAAAGCATTCTCGTCCCCGATTGCCACCCTCTGTTTACGCTCGCGCACGTGATCGAGCCGGTATTGGATCAAAGTCGCCCGGCTCCGACTCGCTCTTCGAAAAATGCTCTCGTAAGAGAGCAGCGCGTATATTACGCGCGGGGGATCCTGGCAGTGCTAGATGAAGGTGCCCGCAGACGGAACCAGCGAGGATGGATGATCCCGGGACTAAGGGCGCGACGTTAGATAATTAGTTTCTCGATCGGACACACAACGCGACGGTACACATGAAAGAAAACAACACCGCGGGAATGCTAATGAGCCGGGCCCACGTCGTTCGTATCCTTGCGGATGTACACGGACGGGATACAAAAGTACAAATCGACCGAGAGACGTGGTCTGACAGCCCGCTCGCGGAAGGAGGGGAAAAAAGGGGCGACACGACAACGTGAGAAATTACTTCTTAAGAGAGCGAGGGCGGCCGATTGTCTCGCGAAGAAAAGAAAAATCACTTATGCCGCTATTGTAACGTAATGTCGTGCTCGCATTGGGATTCTTATACAAATGTACGAGCTGCCCACAAATTAGCGCCCCTCTTTATTTTCTATAGCTTCTCCGACATATTTATGAAATCGATCTGTCCTCGAGAACGATCATCGCAATCTTCTCGAATCAATATAGAGCTTTTCGGGAAAAAATGTAGAAATGAAATTTTTATTTTTAATTCTTAATAAGCCAAAGCTTGAATCTTGCTTTTTATTGACATAAAAAAACATTTACATTTAACAAAAAAACTTTGACATAAAAATGCTTTTTATCGACATAAAAAAATAGAAAAATAATTAATTTCAAAGTGTACACATTTTTTTCCTATATATTTCTGAAATATCTTGAAGGTAATAAAATGAATCTTACATTTAACAAAAAATTTTGACATAAAAATGCTTTTTATCGACATAAAAAAATAGAAAAATAATTAATTTCAAAGCGCACACATTTTTTTCCTATATATTTCTGAAATATCTTGAAGGTAATAAAATGAATCTTACATTTAACAAAAAATTTTGACATAAAAATGCTTTTTATCGATATAAAAAAATAGAAAAATAATTAATTTCAAAGCGCACACATTTTTTTCTATATATTTTTATATATCTTGAAGGTAATAAAATGAATCTTACATTTAACAAAAAAAAATTATTCAAAAGAAAAATCGATAAAATAAGCAAAAATTTCGAGATACATCTCGTTATCAACTAATTGTATCAACGTTTTACTACTTGAGAATTAAAGTAATGGACGCTTGAAAGTCAGTAGGATGATTTTGTCAACAGCCTGGCGACCCATGAATCGTGTCCGTGAAAGGATCGTTAACATCGGATAATACGAGGATAATGCACTCGTTTAAATGCATACTAGTCGGGCATTATCTCATCGTGCAGGTAAGCCTCTAAAGCGATATCCTGACCAAGCATACGTAGAATTCACCGTCCAACTTCCGATCTCATCCCCGTCTTCCCGTCTTCTCAATTTTTATAAAGAGACGTTCAAATTCCAATAATCTCTCTTATAACGCTGAAATTGCGCGGGTGCAATTACTCCGAAAATGCTCCGATTTATGCTGCCAGTATTTTTCTATATAAGATAGAGATCAGATCGTCATCGAATCATGACTATTTCACAAGACTTTATTAGACAAATTGTGTACTATCTCATCAAATGAATGATGATGAAAAAGAATCTTCGCTCTTTGACATGAGCGTAATTTGCCATTCGCTTTTGGATCGCTTTGAATCGCTCGAGCTCAGATGACGGTTAAAATGAAAGCCATGAAACGGATGTTGTCAATAAGCGAATGTGCTAAATAACAGCGGCGAATGGATGGAACGGCGCAATTTTGCCACCGACTCTCTGATTGTGAGGTTCATGAGTCATAACTAATTCGAGGTCATGGCAATATGCATGGTCGACGCGATCTTTCGCATAATTGAGTAGCACGCATTGTTGCCGGTTCACGTCCGCAATTCTCGCCGACACTTGTCGGTCGATCGAGCGCAAACCTGGACCTTACGTGACAATAATTTGTTCTAGTTGATAACGAGAGCTGAATCGCGACAAATAAAAATAATTACAAGAAATTAGGACATTATAAAAAACAAAAGATCCGACAGGGTTATCGTTTTCGGATAAAAAAATGCGAAAACTTAGTAAACGAGCAAATTATGTTTCACGCGGCTTCTGAAAAGGACACTCGACGAAAAAGGAGATTTCACGCTCCCCCCTTGAATACGCGTACACTAAATACGCAAAATATTCATTCGCGATACGCGAAATAATACTGGAATGTGCGTCGCACGCTTTCTGAAGAGCTAATAATGTGGTTAATCAATGGTCAACTGTGTACGGCCATCGCTCACGTGTCATCGGCATCGAGTAGAGCTTGGCCGGTGCCAATATTCCGCGCAGCCCGGCAGAATCCCCATCTCTCCATCCCCATCCCTCTAATGGACATAATATTTCCCGCTGACCAACCACTGCGAACATGTTTGAGCTCGATCGGACGCGAGATTGAACGCGTGTTTGGCTTTGATCGAACGCAAATGAATACAAACGGCTGGATCCTTGTGCAATTCTTTCGTCAACCGAGATCCGAAGCGCGAGGATTGTTACGATATTCAATACGCATAATTTCATCACGATAAACCCGCAAACGTCATTCGCGAATAGAGAGAGAGATCATTGTTTTAAGAGAAATCTCCATTAAAAAAACCTTTTAAAGATATTTTGATGGTATGTACAATCCCAGCAAAAAGTAGCTGAAAATCAATATTGACGAATATCCACTTTTGGTGTATTTTGAGTATGAGAAAAATACTACAATACATATTACAATTATAAATAAATATTACAATTTGATCTTAGTGCAGAAATGTATTTTTTAATATTTATTACGTTTTTATTGAAATATTCCGAATTTTGTTAATCGAAATGATTAACTTTTGGCAGAGAATTTCGCCTTGTGACAGATACATGGCTAACTTCATTAAATTATATTTAATATCTCTTTAAGCAGTTATTACTTGTATAATATTATTTGAAAAGCAAATATTTCCTCTGTACCTAAACTTTTCAACAAATTCTGAATATTATTTCCATGTGTTTTTCTCATTTGAATCGACGTGGTTACACGTTTCCCATAAGAATACATGTTAATTCGGTGCAAATTAAAATCTTTATAACTTGTGAACGCTTTAGTGAA